GTTTAACAGTGTAGTGATATATTGATGCAATATAAGTTTCATTAGTGACATAAGATTTTTAGCAGATGTAATAAACTGACTGAATAAACTTTGTTTTACAATTATTCTTCTAGAATAATGTATATAATAATAATATATATATAACTGTTAATAATGTATTTTATAACGAGGATGGGGTTTTAGTAAGAGAAAGATATACTCGTCAATAAACATATTTCGTGAAAACTCCACTACGAAACGTCTTATTACTTTCAAGCAACAAAATAGATTCTTTATCAGCATATTACGTGTTGTATAATTTCACAGAAAGTAAATTAAAATAATTCTAATAACAATACTACATATATTAATGTATACTGTTTTAACAAGACAGTAGATGGACAAGAAATATGTGAATGGTGGTTGATTTCAATTTTACAATCCAATACTCAATACAATTTTACGTCAATACAGGCACGAAACTGTCCTGGTAAATTTTTAAAAACAAATAATTTAATTGCTTATACTAATGTGTTTGCAACATTTAATTCATAATAGATTAGCAATAGCAATGAAATTATATCTAAAATAAACCTTTTCTTTGCCAGCTTTCTATAAACAACATTTGTTTTGTCAGAGCTTTCTCCTTATGAAAGAGACAAGTGATAGTGTGAAAGAGAAAGATGCGGTGTTGACGGATGATGTGCAACTCTCAGATTTGTTGTAGAAATAAAGGATTACTTCTTTTGGATCCTTTGTTACCAACCAACTTGTCATATCAATCATATTTCTTTCCCTACCTTTACATTGTTGTCGTAATTGCTTGAACTTATTTCAACGCAACACCAAGTATTATTTGTAGTAATGGATGACTATATTTTATTAAACTTCAGCTTTACTTAATTTAGGTACACGATATACTTTAATTATGAGATATTTGAACTTTATCTAGGTTATCTAGTTGTTACTCACCAAAGTCACATAGCATTATCATAGTTTGTTCATGGCTAAGCCCCCTATATTTTTGATAACCAAAATGATTTTAAAAATTGAAATAATCATGACTTGAAGATTTCTAAATTATGATACGTGTACGAAGTAATTCAGTAGTTCCTTACATCGGTGCATTAGACCCGCAACACTTACAAAATGTTTGTCACAGCACAACTTATCACAGTACAACACAACTTGTCATAGTACAACTTGTCATAGTACAACTTGTCATAGTACAACTTGTCACAGCACTCCTTGTCACAGCACTAACTGTCACAGCCCAACTTTTCAAAGCACAACTTGTCACAGCACAACTTGTCACAGCCCAACTTTTCAAAGCACAACTTGTCACAACACAACTTATCACAGTACAACACAACTTGTCATAGTACAACTTGTCACAGCACTCCTTGTCACAGTACTACCTGTCACAGCCCAACTTTTCAAAGCACAACTTGTCACAGCCCTACTTGTCACAGTATAACTTAACACAGTACAAATTGTCACAGCACTACTTGTAACAGCATTCCTTGTCACAGCACTACATGTCACAGCCCAACTTTTCAAAGCACTACTTGTCACAGCACTACTTGTCACAGCACAGCTTGTCACAGTATAACTTGTCATAACAGTTGTGCTGTTGAACTTGTATAACTTGTCACAGCATAACTTAACACAGTACAAATTGTCACAGCACTACTTATCATCGTACAAATTGTCACACCACAACTTGTCAAAGCACAACTTGTCACAGCACTACTTGTCACAGCCCAACTTTTCAAAGCACAACTTGTCACAACACAACTTATCACAGTACAACACAACTTGTCATATTTGTGTATTTTTTGTGTAAGCACAATACAACTTTTACAGCACTACTTGTCACAGTCAACTTGCCACAGTACAACTTGTCACAGTACAACTGGTCACAGCTCAACTTATCACATTACAGCTTGTCACAACACAATGACCAAATTAATTGTAGTATATGTATAGTTGTTCACTTATGCCATTTAAATTAGGAGAATCAATAGTACCATATTTAAGGCTATTAGATCACCAAGGTTCATTCTTTTATCCAATGCGTTTCAATGGCCAGCCTTACAAAGTAATGCCAACTGAACTGAGAATAATGCAATCTAGAGATATGTTATTTTATAGAATATAAAGATTAAAGAACACTTATATTGTTGAGAATGTAGCAGAGTTTGTTGCGCAGTACCATAACTACCAAAGTTAACGTTGACCCGAAGGCTTTGTTGAACAATAACCATAAACAGTTAACTTCCTCTGTGTTTATAGCCAACGACAAGCTAACACTTGCCTACGGTTTAGTATTTTATTTACAGTAGCCATGGCTCTACTCTTTGAAAATAAAGCTTTGTAAAACCTTAATCGTTTAGTTAACATAAAACATGGGATGGAGTAAGGCTAAGCTATGTCTGGTTTGCATCATTTTACAACTAAAAGTCGAGATATCGATACCATGACTAAACCTTTTTCGTGCTCCCTATTCCATTTTAGTTCAACGCTTGGATTCAACCCTAACCAATAACGTGGAGTTTAGTGTTTGAAATGCTAATTATGCAGAAATAAACAGTCAAAGTACTTATTTATCACACAATCTTGAACTAAGTTATTGTAATTATAATATTACAGCATCAACATGAACGTTAGAGACGAAAATTATAAATAGCAGTGTATTTGCAATAGATGTTTTCAATATTCCTGCAATTTGCGGTAATACTATCCTATCAGTGTTAAAAGCGGATTCCTTGTAAAAACGCAATTTACTCAATCCTCTTATGGTCCTCAGAGGGCGGTAAGACCTTTACAAAAAGTGAAACACTTTCTAAAAGAGCTTTTTTGATATTCCTGCTCATGTAACACCAACATAATGTTGTATCACTTTATTAGGCTAAGAAAAAAGGTATACAGGGTAGCTGGTCATCGATTTTACAATTTTTGTGTTTTAGTGTGTATTTAAACATAATACAGCAATTCCTCAATTACATGTAAATGGGTAATTAGTAGATTATGTCATTTTCGTGTTCTACATGAAATTTTGAATAAGAATAATAGATAATGATGGAGGATCAATAGTAAAAACTCCATTGCAAATAGTTCCAAACATTTAAATTTAGGTCTATGATATAAATTTGAAAAACATTGGTCCATTACATTTTTCTACACCCTGTATATAAGAAGGTAGCATAATGTGTTGAAAACTGCGCCATGTGTTGTATTTAGCTTAGCAGCCATATTCTACACTATTGAGCTTTAGATCAGATTTACTTTCAACGTCTTATTCAATCCCTCCGAGATTAGAGGAACGCCATGTTGTGTCTTATTTACAATAAATTTCCAATAACACTAAACCTCAAAGATATCTATGCAACAACGCATATCAGCTGATCGGCAATGAAGTAAAGAACACAGGGATTATAAAATATAACGTTTTTTTCATTAACATGTATCTCGCAGCACTGTTAATTTGGGTTGCGTGCAAAAACGACCTTTTGGTTGTTATCGTTAAGAAAATAGATAATTTTAAAATAATATTTCCTTTTTTTAATTAATCTTGATCTTTTAATCGGTGAAAGTAAATAGTCATTTTAAATCTTGGAATGTATTAATGGTTCCAAATTGTCTCTTATAACGGCTCTATTAATATTGATATTAAAATATGAACATATCCCCAGATGTATATTTGGAATAAACTAGATAACTTTGTGAACAAATTAAATTTAACTGTGGTAGAAAAACTGGGTATATTTAAGGGTTTAAAAAGAAACGCTAAGCTTTTAAAAAAAGGTTTAATATAAGTTCTTATTCTCATTTTATCATGTAGGGTGGTACTTTGAAACATAAAAGGAGCCCCGCTTTACTGTGAAGGGTTGTTTTAAGTGAATTGGTGTTCCCGGACCCGTCGCTTATTGAAGTGGAAAGGGGTTTTATAAATATTACCCACATGTTTCCATTTTAGTGTTTAAAATAGTTGCATGGTTTTAAAAATTAGTGTATGAGTGTGCATACAATGTTAAATATGATAATGGTTTTTTCATATAAATACATACAAAACATGATAAAATATTACTCATAATTAAACGCATAAAGTATTTCTATATGACCGTTTTCAGCCTATACGGTTCAACCAGGTTCAACCAATTAGACTAATATTCAGAATATTTGTTTGTAGATTTTGTTCATGTATATTTCAGTATTTATCAAATCTATTATATAAGTACGTAATTAAAAATCTCGTACACTGTTTGTTACAAAACGGATTGCTTAATACTTGTATTATTTGACAATTGGGTAAACATACCTCGTCAGACATCCCTTAACATGTAGTTTGGTGTGAAATTTGCTACATAACAGAAAGTGTTGTGAGGTTTTGAAATAAGTTTTATTATTATTTTTACCCTTATAACATATAAATGCCCAATTCCGATTACATACATCGTGTAGAGCTTAAAAGATATAATTTATTCATGTTGAATCATCGTTGTACAGGTAACGAAGAAAATTAACAAAATAAAACTGTACATTTAATTTATCATATACGAAGCTATAACTCTTTCAGTTTACTTTTTCATTTATGTAATCACTAGGCCCTATATTTTGATCAAAATTAGTAAATTTATCCATTCCATCCTATACGATTGACAATTGATCCAAAAACACTTCAATTTAGTGTAGCAGCAAATGCAAGTTTTTGTTGAATCAAATTATATTTAAATTGGATAAAAAATAAGAATTGTTTATGGAAATATTTTGTTAAATTCCCATCAGACAAATTGAAATCCCCTTAATCCGTAGGGTTGTCTTGGCAGGGGCATTGTATCTTTGAAAGAATTTTACTGTTAAACTTTTTCGAGAATATTTTAATAAAAATTTAATATTAGGCTCTACTGTCTAGCTCACCAGACTTCTATGTTGCATGTATGTTGGTGTTTCAAATTTGTCAAAGTGACAGGTAAATTAGGTTTATGACGCACGACAGGTGTTTTTTTATCAATGTACGTCAGCTAAACAGCATACTTGTAATGCGCTTTTAACACAGTAACACACTACATTGGTTTGCTGGGGCCTTCACGTACAGGTAGGTTTAATATAACACAAATCTTTTAGTACAAAACAAATATCTCTTATTCTTACTAGGAATCGGTCAACAATAACGTTCCGCGACGGTTGGCAACATTGCACAGAACGTACCGTATCTTTGCTAAACAACGATCTTTGGTCTTTTACTTCTCTACCTGCCTTCCGCTTTACTTCTGATATTTTATTGAAAAGGACTATCTGGAACTTATATTCACTATTCGTTCAGGTTGTACTAGATACTGGATTTAACACTCACCACCGAACCTCTCGGTACCGAAAGTTTAATTTTTTTGAAGATGTTTAGTATTATACAGGGTGTCTTGCTACCATATGAAAAAAACTTCATCACGTTATTCAGCATGTCGAAAGAAACAGAAAATGTCTCATAACAAGTTAGTGTCCTATCTTATGCGTTTTCACTCTATCTGTATGTATGTGATTTTCACGAAAGCACTCATAACTTCTTAACTGATAGAGCTACAGCATTGAAATTCTGTACAAATGTTTATTTTATTAGCCACTATGTTTGTGCAAAATATGAATAAAAAACTTTGAACCGTTAAAAATGGCGGCTTGTAAAAAAAATGTGATGCCAAATTCTATGAAAACTTTCAATTTTACAAACTATTTACAGGTGATGTAAAATCCAGTATATATTATGTAGATTACAACGAAATCTTATAAGCTTAGTTTGAGCAAAGAATAACTGAAAAATAAATGTTTCTTCTTCAAGAAAGATTCAAGAGTTATTCATATTTTGCAAAAACATATTGGTCAATAAAATAAACATTTTTACAGAATTTTAACACTGTAGCATGAATGTTTTCGTAATAATCACATAGATACAGATAGACTGAAAACGAATGAGATAGGACACATGTAATTATATATTTTTTGTTTCTTTTAAAATACTGAATGCCCTGAAAAAGTTTGTTCATAAGGTTGCAAGACACGTATGTATACGTACAAGACACGTATGTATACGTTTTTATGTTTGTGCAAATATGAATAAAAAATTTTGAGCCGTTAAAAATGGCGGCTTGTTAAAAAAATGTGATGCCAAATTCCATGAAAACTGTCAATTTTACAAACTATTTACAGGTGATGTAAAATCCAGTAAATCTTATGTAGATTACAACGAAATCTTATAAGCTTAGTTTTAGCAAAGAATAACTAAAAAATTCATGATTCTTCTTCAAAAAAGGTTCAAGAGTTATTCATATTTTGCACAAGCATATTGGTCAATAAAATAAACATTTTTACAGAATTTTAACACTGTAGCATGAATGTTTTCGTAATAATCACATAGATACAGATAGACTGAAAACGAATGAGATAGGACACATGTAATTATATATTTTTTGTTTCTTTTAAAATACTGAATGCCCTGAAAAAGTTTGTTCATAAGGTTGCAAGACACGTATGTATACGTATTAATTGAGGTAGAATGGTTACTGTAATGGAAATTAATTTATTCTCTTATTTAGTGGTATCAATTTCGTTGATAAATGCCAAGTAATTTTGTTTACAGATTGCATAAACAATATTCAAATAAAGTATTGTTTGGGAACTAAGGTAGATCTCCTAGTATTTGCAATATATTGTCAATATGAAAATATTGTGTATATCTATTGAATAAATGATGGTTTTTTTTTTAAACCTCGTATAATCACGTTTATCTTTATTATGTCTTATCAAACAAAATAAAACTATTCTTTTTACTCTAAACACAAATAAAAGTAAAAACTGATTTTTATGGTTTTGTAACTACGTAGTAGTAATATTTTGGGAAGTCTTTGCAATCACCGGTTGATCTCACCATCCGTGAAAAATATGCTTTCATCGATTATAACTTATTCGAGACTTTACAGTCGATGGGGGTGGGGGGCTAATCTTATCAGTTTTATTTACATTTTTTAAATCGAAAAATTTGTAATTTTGAATAAATATGTGATAATTACAGAATTTCTATGACTAGCTTAAGTCGAAATAGCGTCATTTGAATTCAATACATTTCTAAAAGTATGAAGTGTTCATTTGTATATGGTGTATAGTCAAATATTTATCCTATGTTTGGGTCCAATATACTATATTTTAAGATATTTGCATTTTTCAGTTAATTAATATGAATCTGGCAATCGTAGGAATCCCTGAATAATGTTTGTTGTGTGTTGTGTTATTGATGCAATGTTTTTTTTTTTTTTTTTTACTTCCGTCAAAGTGTTTTATATGATAAATGGCGTAAAAAAACTCAGATATAAAAATTAACCACCAATGTCCAATGTTGAAATTACTTTACAAATGTCAAGAAAATACACAGACCACATGTAAATACTCCAAGAGGGTATCGTCAGTCAAGTAATGTGTCAATAAAATCGTAAAACAATAGTTATTTGTGTAACTAGTGGTGAAAGTGGCACTTTGCTGCACACGAGAGCAATTTTTACGCACGAGCCGCAGGCGAGTATAAATAAAGCATATAAAGCATATAAATAATTAGTCTTTCAAACACTATACAACACGTTTTTAGGTTCAGCTGGCAACACAAATGGTGCCCTAGAGAAAGTAGTACCCGCGGTCCTTATCACTCCGCTATTTTTCCTCGGCAAGAAATGTGCTCCGCGTTTTGAGAATATAGTTCCGTATGTTTTTGTAATTTGAAGAGGTTTCCGCGCCTAAAAAATGCTTTAAAGGTATTTTCTTGTTTATTAAGATCGTAGGAATGTTTTAAAAACGTTTAAAAGAAAAGTCCAGAAAGTTCAGAAATACCGAAACTATAAACACGAAGGTTAAATCGTAGTTATAATAGTCAATCAGCTGCTCATATTATTATTATCTTTAAGTGTTGCCAACCTATTTCCAAGCGTGCACGGATTACGTGCATAATAGAACCACGCTGTTTTGTGTTGTTTCGTTGGAATCCTGATGTGCGGCAAAGTATAAACCGTACGACAAAGTATAAACCGTACGGAAAAGTATAAATATGAACCCCTATAAACAGTACAAGGAAGCCAACTTTGTCGGGTGACTGTAGGAAAACTTATTTTACATTTCATAATGAATTTTTCATTCAAACCCATTTTCTGACCATCTACATACCCAAAAAACCTTTAGATTGCTTTTTAAAATATACTTAAATTATTTTGAATGTTTTTTTTTTCTAAAATATAATTACAGCTACGATATTGTGTTTTACCATCGTTATGCAGACGATACTTTCGTACTGTGATATGGTAGTAAAGTGCAACTCCATATTTCAAGAAATTCTTAAACGGTGATTATTTCATAAGAGAATCTTTGAACTTATTCCGAAACCTAAGTTACAAATGCGATAATTCACGTCCGGTGAACCAAAATCACATCTTCGCGTCTTAGTTTCAACAATATATTCAGATTAACACTTTTTGTCTAGGTTACTTAGTATATATATCTTGTATCTTTGTCCAGAGAAAACCAAACCAATACGTGTATCGATCCCTGAAAGTTTCAGTTATATTTACCTAAATTGACATTAGAATGGTATTTACTATTTCCGAAACTTAAGCCACACATCGGTGCCTTTTTTAATCTTTTTACAAAAACTATCTGATTGGAATACTATATACGAAAGATATTGCTACCGTCTCAAACGATTACGACATAATACACTTGTTTAAACTAAACGCTCATATTTTTCAGGTAAACAATCATGAAGATATACTTGGCAATGACAATTATCATCTGCTTGGCGGGAAAAGTCACCGCTCATGGCGAACCCAGTAATGGAAACACTGACGTTAACGCAAATCACAATTCAGTAGTGGTAAACATGGATTTTTCAATATCTGCTATTCTAGTACTGTAAAGAAGTTCATGTGTAAAGCAATACTCTTTTATTGATGATTGATGTGCCAAAAGAAATCCTCTGTAAATGTCATTGAATAACTTTTGTCCCGCACAGTTCAAAATGCGGCTCCATTGAACTTTAAGGCTTCCATGTCTTTTTTTACTTTATTTAATTTACAATCTGTTCAAATGTTGAACAATAAGCAAATGAAATAAGAATACAACATTAAAAGTTAACTTGAAGAACATGATTTAGTATTGACCACTGCCAACACTAGCTAACAAAGAGAATGTTGATAACATTTAGCCGAATCTGAATGGGAGGTCCAATATCGTATGTCGCTTCAGTCTGTAAATGGTGTTGTGATTGTCCAATAAATTAAGTGCAAGATGAGTTGAATGATTTTCCAATTTGATAATAAGTCAATATTTAGTTTTTCTTGTATATGATTCATTTCTAAAATGCACACACGTATTGAACACGCGTTTTAAAAAAAACGTGCGTCGGACGTTTTAAACTAGGTTATAACCCTAGTTCCCTTAAACTACTATGTTGATAACCGTATAGCTATATATATGGTAATATAATAAGAGCCGGACGGTCGGTACGGCATTTTCAGCGTTCTACGCAGTCTGCTCTCTTTTCTCTTTTGTGCTCGTGTTCAGTTGTCCAGGTTGCACTGGATGACGAACATTCATCTCCTCTTTAGATAATTCTGCTTACAGCATCAGCAACAGAGTTTCGAACTTGTGAGTCATCCTAAAGTGAAGTATTAAAAAACATAAACGTAATCTTCTATAAGGTCTGGGAACCATCGATATATAGCTACCCGTAGTTATATATCGATGCTGGGAACAACGTGTGGAATTCATCACAAATCAGCCATTTCCTATGTTGTTAATCCAAAACCTCATTTTTCTTAACTTAGCATTCTCCTCTTATACGATTGAAAATGCATACTGCAATAATTTTCCTCCAAACATATTCTATCTTTTAAAAGATTATCTTACAAACTGATTTCTTTTTTAGTGAGAGGCGAATGGAGGACAGGACCGGCGGAACGCCCGATCCAGTGTGCGCATCCCTCTAAAACATTCCAAGACGGCCGTACCGACCGTCCCGACCGTACCGTCCATACCGACCGTACCGACCGTACCGACCGTACCGTCCGTACCGACCGTACCGCCCGTACCGTCCGTACCGACCTACCGTCCGTACCGTCCGTACCGTCCGTACCGTCCGTACCGACCGTACCGTCCGTACCGTCCGTACCGCCCGTACCGACCGTACCGCCCGTACCGTCCGTACCGACCGTACCGTCCGTACCGTCCGTACCGACCGTACCGCCCGTACCGTCCGTACCGACCGTACCGTCCGTACCGTCCGTACCGCCCGTACCGACCGTCCCGACCGTACCGTCCGTACCGACCGTACCGTCCGTACCGTCCGTACCGTCCGTACCGACCGTACCGCCCGTACCGTCCGTACCGACCGTACCAACCGTACCGTCCGTACCGACCGTACCGCCCGTACCGTCCGTACCGTCCGTACCGACCTACCGTCCGTACCGTCCGTACCGTCCGTACCGACCGTACCGTCCGTACCGACCCAGCGTAGCTATATCGGTTTTTTTAAATGAAAAATAAATTAATCTATTGTTCGGAATGGAAATTAGATTTAGGATTACTCTCATCCAACGAGTATTTTGGGGTGATGAGAAACGCTGTCACAGATTCAGGATGAGTTAGTTCGTTATTAAATTGGTGAAAAACTGCTAAGTCTGTTAACGAAATATGTTGTTACGTTTATGGCATACTTTAGCATGTAAACATCTAAAATATATCCAAAAACGTATTTTCTGTAACGGAAAAAATAATATTCGCAAAAATTTACAATAAATACTATGATGTAATCTTTAAAACACATCTAAAAAACGGATGAGTTTTAATATTGTAAGAATTGCTTAGTTATTCTGTTTTTAGTTTCTCAGGAAATGTAATATCATTATCTTAAATGTATTCATGCTTCTAGATGCTATTCAGAAAATTAAGCAATAAAAGAGTTAAATTTAACTTTCAATACAGAAAGTTTTGGAATGGAAATATCATCTTTTCTAGGGAAAATATACTCATCCAAAAGGAAAAAGATCCACTATTAGTATGAATTATACTGTGTAATATTTTTTTTGACTTTGGTTGTAACTAGGCAAGTTCAAAAATCTAAAATCTGCTCAGAATATAGCATCGTGAGCTGCAAAAATATTTTGATACATATTTTTTTGTTGCTAAAAGTAACAAAAGATTAATAAAAGTTGCGAGTCCCATGCCTCACTTTAAGTTTAAGTTTCCTAAAATGATTCACTCGCTTAGCTTAGTCAAGAGGTGTTAGGTTAATGAGACATAAGACTGCTTAAGGGTGTTACTCAACGTGTAATGAACAAAAACTTAAATTTAGAAAAAAACTACAAAAGTAACAAAGTGTTACAACAGCAAAAGAAAACTTAGAAAAGGCAAAAATCAACAATAATAAGATAAATTAATTTACAACGTTAAATTTACAAGAAAAGAAAATCAATTGAAAATATAAAAGAATTAGTTACTGACAAATTATATGACTTTTATGATTGACAAAGTTTTAGTTAGATATTTTATTCTTTCTACATACTGTCTATTGTCCCAGAAGCACACACACCGATACACGCACTCCCAAACTCCCGATCTTCTTTCTCCGGTGGCCCGTGGTGATCTCCTCGATTCTTTCCTTCAGGTCCTTCAGCTCCGAGACTCGTCACCCCTCCATCTTCTTCATTAGCCCTTCTCATTGGCTGATTACCGATAGGGTGTGTGGCTTATAGGTTAACGGTGTTTCTTGGAAGTCAGCCCTACCGGTCATCGCCTAGCTCACATCAGCTGGGAAAGGAATTTGTAAATCGATGCTCATGCTACTGTTCAACTCTGTTCACACCAACTGGTCGACTAAGTGTAATGTGAACAGAGTGTCTGCATAGATGAGCACCGTGGGTACGGGGTTAATCCCCTTTCTTACACCCCCCTGGTTAAAATGTCAACCTACCACCGGTTGACAATAAAAAAGAAAAAAGACAACTTAAGGAGATACACGGAAACATCAATCGCGAAGGTGGGAATCGAACGGATATCTTGATGTGCGTTCCGACTCTTCTTCCCCCTTCCTGCGACGCGACGCGATCTTGAGGATCGGCGCATTTGCTTGGTTCGCGACCCTTCCAGCGACGCGGTAGAATGAGCTGGTGGTGTATAGCTCATAGTCGCTCACGTCTTCTTTCGCCCCATCGAGTCTCCTTAAGTTAATTGATTGTTTCATTAATTTTGAACTATTTAAATATTAGCTGTTTGTTATGATGTTATATTTTTTAAATTAACATAACATTAACATTTTACCAAATGTCGTAATTTAACATACATTAAATTTTATGTTATTTATTAACATTTTTTATATAAAAATAAATAGGTATTACAGGGAAACAAAGAATACAAGATTTCAAAATAAAGTAAGGAGTCCTTAGATCACAGGCAGCATATATGTATTTAAATATAAATAATTTTTCAACAAATGTTACAGGGGAGTGCTGCAGTTTCTTCGCCTCCTCAACAATTTACACCACATCCTTGGCGCTTGGTAAATATCAGCCTACAAAATAACCTATGGTAATAGACGATAATTGTTAACAGTATCACTCGTAAAGCTTTCCAAATTACACCATTCAGTCGTTTTGGTTATAGTTTTTATCATCAAACTCCGAGTTGACTATGAATTTATGACTCGCTAAAACCACCATCTTAGTTTACAATTGATTAATTTTAAACCTTAAATACAACATTATGTTCATGATATGTCAGGGAGTTTTTGTTCCAGGACCTTAGCTGCAACATCTTGCGTATCCATTATCGTAAACTCCTTTAACATTTCACTTGGGTAAAATAACTAGAAACGCAATTGAGATGTCAGATACAAACAAGTACTAAATCCTAACTAAATTAATTGTGCTATTAGTATGAATTGAAACTTAATGTATTTAGCATAACTTTACTAGTCACTATTCATAGGCACATTTCCGTCAGCATACTTAGCCAACACTTGTGTGTGAGAGGGGCGGTCTTAATACCAGGATTATCTAGAGAAATCGTATATATCTGGACCGCTTAGTCTAACACAGCTTCAGTTCCAGCTTGACCAAAAATGCCACATGCATAGACAATGAAAACGTCTACGATAAAAATTACACATGTTAATTAGAGATCGCGTGGGCTTTCCAACGAGCCTAACTCCAATACTCTCAGACGACCTGTCGCTGAAAAGTGCGCTGCAGAAAATAAATCGGGATTTTCGCCGCACCCTGTATATTTACGGCCATAAATCTACCCTGCTATGAAGTAAGTTTCAGAAAAACTACTCAGTACCAAGTATTTTGCAAAAGACCTCGTAATACTAAAAGAATGAATATTCGTACTACATAAGTAAACACGACAAGTAACATTGTCATCTAGTAAAAATATTAGTAAAGTTCACTGCTGGCTCAAGTGAAACATTTAGGGGCATGATAATGGTTAACGAGTGAGGTAAAGCAATGAGTGTAAATCTACGACCAAGCCCCAAAATGGAACTTTTGTGGCTAGGGGTAAAAACATACTTTTCATCACGATGCAAATAATCACACAACGCTTCTTGGTTTACTGAATAGAGCATCACATTCTTTATTGATTATCTTTCAAGTTTCTATATCATAGTCTTACAGTTAGTATAAAATTCATCAGTCAGATATTTTATATAATTAAAGAATGTACTCTGCACACACTAGTGCTACTGTAAGCTTAAATGGGGAAAGGGCGAACAAAGGATAAACAATGGGGCTAGGGGAGCGTGTCATGTGTTTTGATCAAATGGAAAACGAAGACTTTCGAAAAAATCTGAGCTGTGCATACGCTGTTCTTGATTAGAGCGTGAAAAATATACTCGCTAGTGGCAAGTCGACCGTGGCTAGTGACTATGTTATAGTGCCTAGTGGATAGTGGCATTGAATATTGACTATACACTAGTGGATAGTGGATACTAGGTAGTAAGTACTGGTTAGTAGTTAGTAATTAATGGATACTGCCTAGTGGCTAGTGGACAGTTGCTAGTAACTAGTGGCAAGTAGACAGTGGATAGTGACTAGTGGCTAGTAACTAGTAATAAGTGACTTGTGACAAGTAAATAGTGACTAAACAATGTCAATAAAAACTCTTGGCTAGTGGCTTGTGGATTGTAACTAGTTCGTAGTGAGTCTTAGTGACCTAGTGACTAGTGAATAGGGGATTTCACTATTGGCTTGGGATTAGTGTCCAGTCACTAGCGAAATGTTAATAATGACTAGCGGACAAGCATCTAGGAGATAGTCACTATCCTGATTAACTAGTTAAAGGGTTACTAGATATTTCAGTGTAAAACATGTTGCAGGATTTGACTAGTGCATCTCAATGGCTTACTTCCCAAACACCATCGGGTTGGAATTCACAGGTAAATGTAAAATACCCTTCCTAAAATATCTTTAATTAACTAAGAGTCAATAGTTAATTTTATCCATCGGCTAACTTCAAATTACAACCTGGATACGTTGGTAAAACCGCCGTTTCCAGTTGTGATATAAGCTAAGTTTTTATTTATAGGCTAGTACAATGGAATAGTGGTAAATTTAGGCATAAATTATTTTAAGCCAACATTATATTGATTAACATTATGAGTAATATCGTAATAAAATAAACTTGACCTTAAGTTCAAGTTAATTGCCTAACAGTTTTACTACTTTGATTACCGGTAATGATACCGTTTTTGTGGTCAAACACGGATATTACTAACCAAAACTCAAACTCGAAAACCTTGGATCAGGACAATAACCTTACCGTATACCACGTATAAAAGAAGAAAACATAAAAAAAAACTATTAAAAAATCCAACCCGTATATTCAATTCAGTTTAATATCCTATTTTGAGTTAGAGTTGACCCTGTATTGAAAAGTAATAGCTAAACAATTTTAACTTAAATAAAGATCACTTTTTTGTTTAAAGGTACCGAAAATGAATATTTCCACCCAACTCTCAAACTAAAACTATAATAAAAACAAGTTCTCTATTTACTGTGTATAGGAGAAGAAAGTAAAAGACACATTTCTTTCGTTATTTTAATGTGGCAATTAGCGAAACAAACCTTGTGTACCTTGTGGAAATATGTGTTTATATGCTGATGACATTAACTAAAAAATTACAGGAAAAACAGTAGAACACATCGAAATAGATACCTTTAAAGAACTTGCAAATATTAAAAATTACTTACTATAGACCTACAACAATCTCAAAATAAACAAAAGTAAAACTAATTTTATATCATTTTCAACTAAGCAATGTAAAAACAAAATAGAACCGTTGATTATTTTGGATTCTGATGAAATCAAACAAGTTGAAAAATAGATTTTTTAGGTTTAGAGTTGATAAACATCTATCCTGGCAGGACCACGTCGATCATGTTTGCTCAAAGATAAATTCAGGGATATTTGCTTTGAAAAAGATGTCTTATCTATGTAATATCAATACTTAAAAAACAATATATCATTCTCTTGTCCATAGCCACATTTCATACGGTATATCTTTATATGGAGTTACAACTAAGAAAAATTTTACTCGAATCTTAAAATTACAGCAAAGGACATTAAGAACAATGATGGGACTAAAAAATTATGAATGTGTTAAAATTCATTTCAAAAATGTTAAAATACTAACTTTGTTTGCCCAATACATTTTTGAAACTGCTCTCATTGAGAAAGAAAGTATATCAGATAACGCACAATTATGCCACAATACAAGAGGAAAAGCCCTAAGAGAAAATAGTCACAACCATCTTTTATTTTCAAATAAAAAGCCCACCTGTGCCGGAAGAAGGTTTTTACGGTTTCTTCCGAATCATTTAAAACCCATTGGCAACATCAAATTTAAAAACAAATTAAAAAATTATCTCATAGAAATTGCTCTTTACTCCATTAAAGAGGTGTTTCCCCAATTAACCTGATTTTATTGGTAGTTTTATATTATTATATAAAAGTAGTATTATTACTTAGTATTATATAAATTTTAGCTTATAACTGCATTTACTAGGTTAGGAATTGGACACTATTCAATGTACAATGTACAATTATTGAATAGAGATATTGAAATGAAATGAAATGAAAATCACCAAAACGGCCGGTTTGGACACATTGTTTCTTGTTGAACGCGTCTGCCCACACCTCAGAGCCATAGATAAGCACAGACTGGACGGCAGACATCAAGAGTCTTCTACGGCTGGACCGGGGACCACCGACATTGGCCATAAGCTTACTAAAAGCAGTTACACTCATAGCAGCCTTGTCCGCTGTACGGAAAATCTAGTATCTCCAGCTCAACTTGTTGTCCACTATGAAACTGAGGTACTTGGCAGTTCGCGTGGTTTGGACAACTACGTTCCTTACTCGTAGTGGAACTATGGTTTCAATCCGTTTCTTCGTGAGGGCGATGATCTCTGTCTTACTAGTGATTAGTGTTTAGTGACTAGCAACAAGTTAATAATGACTAGCGTAGTGGCTATACCAATTGACAGTTAGAAGGTTATTGTGTGAAAACATGTTGCAGGGTAAAACTGGTTCTCCTCAATTGGGGTTTCCCCAATGGAATTGGAATAAACCACAGGTAAACGTAAAATACTTTTCCAATATATAGTTTCTTCAATATGTAGTCAATTTTATCTAATGGCAAACATTAAAATTACAACCTGGATAAGTTGGTAAATAACAACGTATCCAGTTGTGATATAAACTATGTTTTAGCGAATTTCCCTATAGGGAAGTAGCTATTACCGTAGGTCTCATGGTAAGACTTAGGCCCGGGACCGATTTACTTTTTCATTTTAATGTCCCCAGAGGCCAAAAACACCATTCGTTCAAATTTATATATATATATATATAGATTTATATATATATATATGTGTCCGTGAACACGATAACTTGAGTAATTTTTATCCGATTTTGATGAAATTTGGTTTGAAGGTGTAAGGCGGGATAAACTTGAATGAGTTCGCGATCCAGCATGATCGGACCATGGGAACAGGGTTTTATGGGGGGTTTTATGGGGTAAAAATTGGGTTTTCTCACTTTTTACCCTCAAAACACAAAATTTCCCAATTTTTCTCTAAACCTTCTTAAAGAGCTTAAAAAAACAAACAATTCAGTATATCAAAGTGTTATTGTACGGTTATTGGTTACGGAGAAAACTAAAAAAAATGGTAAATTTAAAATTCCCATGTTATTCTTATGGAGAATATTGTAAAATGTTGTAGTTTGCTTGTTTATGGATATATTTTGATCAAACTTGGCAAATTTATTTATTTTATAGTAAGCTATCAATATTTTACTAAAAACACACTACTTTATTAGTTTCCTTGTAGCAGCAAACCTAGGTACTCGTTAAACCTAATGTTATTTAAATAGATCAATTGAAAATCAATTCGGCCAAATGGAAATTCGCTTAGACGGCAGGTTTGCTGCGGCGGGGGTTTTTATATATGAGCTAGTACGATTTATTTAATTAGTGGTAAATTTAGGCATTTTTTTAGCCATCATTATTGATTAACATCGTGAGTAATATCGCGATAAAATAAGCTTTACCCTAAGTTCAAATAATATCAATAGTCAAACAATTTCACTACTTTGATCACGTTTTTGGGGTCAAACACGGATATTACCAAGTAAAATTCAAACTCGAAAACTCTGGACCAGGAAAATAATTAAAGAAGTAAAACTTCTCTTAGACTGCAAGTTTGCAGTGGTGTTGTATTTTTAACTAACAATATATTGGCTTAATATCCTATTTTAAATTAGAGTTGACTATATCTTGAATAAAAATAGCAAAACAATTTTAACTTTGTTCAACGGTCACTTTTTTGTTTAAAGGTACCCAAAATGAATATTTCCATCTAAATCTCAAACTCTAAAACTTTAGTGAAAACAACAATATTAAACCTAAATTAAAGTCACAGATTTATATTTTTACAGCCTGCAAGTACAACGGATGATAAAAAAACTGATTCAACCGCATCTTCTCCTACAAACACGCCTAAACAAGAGGGTTCTCCCGACAAGCCTGTGAGTTAAATGTAGATATGAATAGTGATTATTTTACTTTATTTATTTATATGCAACCTTTCAAGCAAGTTTGTTTAAAACATTCCTTATTTGGCAGAAGTAATAAAACCTCTCCAGCACACACTGTCAGTGGAACTGTATTCAGCTTCAGCATGGAAAAGGGATTTCTATCAATAGTCAATTGTAAGCTTTACATACTGGTGGGTTTTACATGGGTTTTACTGTTTTTAAACTTCTTCATTTAAAATTGTAATCATCGACAGTTGAGATAAGTTTTAAAGAAACTATACAATACTCAATAAAGTGTTTACAGTTAGTCTCAGTAGTATAAAATTAAGCTAAAATTATCGTTAACCAACAATAAATAGGTTTTACATCATGTATGACATCGAAATCGACCCTGTTCAAACCAATAGCTACATATTCACTGTAGCTGTGTAGTATAAACGACTTTCTATAAAGGACCACAATGTTTGTGAACCCCTATGAAATATTGATACATTCTCATCAGTGATGTTAATACGCAATATTGCTTCAGAGAGAATCAACAAAAAAGCAACTAAAAACATCTAAGGTAACACAGTAATTTAATTTAGTCATGTGTGTATACTCACGTTAAATGTTCAATACATTTCAAATTCACGTTCTTGACAGCCTTCCAGTGCACCAGGCGATGATGACAACAAATCAAAGTCTTCGCCTCCAGTGAGCTTACCACAGCCAGAACACGTGACTGTGAGTTGAATATTTTTAATAAATAGTGTTCATATTACTAGGTTATCTCGTTTTTGAAAAACCATATTCATGTCAAACTACTAAATTCTTGAAGCTCTGTACGTATTTTTGTACATTTCTGATCTTAACAAATTAGCTATTTAGTTATATATTTCATAACTAGTGACTCTTATCGACCTGAACCCCAGTTTTATGACCGAGGTGAAGCTGAGGTCGGGAAATAAGTGAAAGGTAAAAATACACCGTTTGCCCGTGTGATAAAATATATCTTTTCGTCAAGATGCAAAATGTTTAACCTAACAAAGCTACAAAACAAAAATACTTGCCATGTAAAGAAAACCTCTCAAAACTACTTCCAGCTTATCAAACTTTGCTGATCCAAACAAGCAGCTGTTTAGTAAGTGATTAAATTATTTAGCCCATTATAATACAATTAGTGTTCATTATACAATCGATATGTCGAACTATTGACAAGAGGGCAACAATAAGCATCAAATAATGAGAAATAAGCTATGCATATTTTCGTATCATGTATCGTTATATACTCTAGTATGCGTTTGCTTACAACAAAATTTAAAACTGAGCTAACAACAGCTAACTTTTACTCCCTAAAACCTAAATAGTATATTTTATCATTAGTGCTTAAAGTGACTCTTTTAGACGTCGGAAAAGGAGTGAGTGTTGGAAAAAGACTTGAGACTTTTTGCCCGGATGGTGAACTATATTTTGCATCATATTGCATTATTATTTGACCAAACTATGCTACAAAACTATATTAGTTTTCATTTATGGATAACCAATTAAAATAAATCCTAAAGCAGCTGCTTAGTAATTGGTTCAATCGTTTCGTCTTTACTACAACGATTGCATTTTAAAAGATCTTTAAACTATCGATATGTCGAACTATTTACAATAAGCAACGACTGATACAAATTAGAGGCATATCATTTTTTTTTTTTAATTTAATTTAAAAAATATATTGCAGATACCTCCTACCACAGGGCCGACACCCGGACCGAGAATACCCAAGGTAAACAACAAATCTTTTACTAATATATGCATGATATTATAATAGTCAATAGTTCATTTTATTTATGGGGCTAGTTGTTAAGTGACTAGTGACCACGGGCATGTAGCCAGTTACCAGTGGCTAGTAAATAGTGGTAAGTTGCTAATGGCTATTGTCTAGTGGCTAGTGAACACTCACTCAATGTTATAGCTACAAGTGGCTAGTGGCTAATGGCTCCTACAGCACCCAACCATTTATTTATTAATTTTTATTTTCCACGGCAATGCCATTTACAATAATAACAATCAGTTAAGATTATAAATAAGATTATATAAACTCCAAGACTGACTTAGAAACTATACAACAAAACAACATTTCATCAACAATTGCATCAATACAATCAATCAACAATAATAGCTATAATACTATAACATAACAATAACAATGCAGAACGGTTATGAATAACAATGACAATGATAATAATATGTATATCTAAATCGTTTATGTTATCGTGAATGTTATATGAACCATTGTTAGGGGCTAGTGGGTAGTGAACATTGACTGAATGTGGCTAGTGACTAGTGATTAGTAACGAGCGACTTAAGATAAGTAGCTGGTAACTAGTGACTATAAATTTGACACTTAGAGGTTTATCAGTTATGTTGAAATTTAATTAAAAAAAAAATATATTGCAGATACCTATTTCCGCATGGGCGAAACTCGGACGGGGAACACAGGTAAACGACAACTGTTTTTACTAATATATGCATGATGTTATAATGGTCAATAGTTCATTTTATTTATGGGGCTAGTTGTTAATTTACTAGTGACCACGGGCTTGTGGCTAGTGACCAGTGCCTAGTAAATAGTGGTCAGAGCCTAATGGCTATTGGACACTGACTCAATGTTAGCTACCAGTGGCTAGTGACTAAGGATTAGTACCAAGTGACTAAAGATAAGTAGCTAGTAACTAAAAGTTTGTGTAGGTTTTTCTGCATGTATAGGTTTATCAGTTATGTTGATATTTAAGTTTAAAAATATATTTTTGTTTACTCAGGCTCCTGAACCACGGCCGATACCCGGAACAAATGAAGTGGTAAACATAACATATTTTTGATAATATATGCATAATTTAATATTAATCAATAGTTGATTTTATTAATGGCAATTATAACCTAAAAATGTTTAGTAAATTTCACGAGTTTGGAATAAGTAATTAACATAGGTCTTAAGATAAGACCTATGTCCTATATAATCCTAGAACTTAATGGATTTTTTGTTGGAATGTCCCCACGGACCAAAACACTATACGTTCAAACTCAAAGCCCTTGCAGTTTGAAATGTTCATATTCATTAATAATAACTGTTTAGTCAGTAAACTTAATATTGCATTACAAACATGGTCATTTCTCCAATAAACATAAATTCATTTAATTAGTTGGCCAGTCATTGTTTTAACTGTGAGGATGTCAGAAATAAGTAGTTATATCGTTTGTTTCTATTTATGTGCTTGCCATCATATGAGGATTAACTGTTATGCAGGTATCAGTAATCAAAATGGTACAAACCGAAACTATTTTAGTTGAACCTTAAAACCATATATTGGGTACCTTATCACTAGTTAGAACTGTACCCCTCTATGAGAGATAAGGTATATTTCACCCTAGGGATTTTAAGCTTTAAATGTAGAAGCAGGTATATAATGGTTTATAACTACATTAATGTTTTTTTTTCGATTTCCCTTTAATTGGAAAAATATGTAAATATCGAAGAAATGAGAACCTAAGTCATGAAGCGCGTTTGTTGAAATTATCGTTTGTTTGTAGTAGCCTAAAAAGATTATTTTTTTAATAGATACAAATCAGGTGATAGAACTTACATTGATTTAAATTGTTAACTTCATTCCAATAAAATGGTGAAAATTAATTGCTAGCCCTTGTATTATGATGTATTTATTTAAAACTAATTTAGTCACTTCTTTTATCGATAGTCAATTTTGTTTTCAACTACATTGGGTTTTACTGCTTTTGCTTTTTTATTAAAAATTATAATTAATTATTTTGATTGAGATAATTTATACTGAAACTCTGCAACACTACTAAGTGTTAAAAGCAAATGTTGTATATATGGTAAAATGAAGATAAAATTATGTTTAACCAAAAATATATTGGTTTTCAATCATGTATAACATTGCATCAAAGTGGCAATAATTTGAGCAATGATTTCATATTAAAGTTTCACTGAATTACCTAAATGGCCACTTTTGTTGTAAAATCACTCGTAATTCGCATTAGTGGATAATGAAAAGCTATATCAAGAACAAATTGCTAAGGCATCTAAAAACATCAAAGGTAAAACAATTTAAAGTAATCATGTTTATTAGCGTAAATGTTTAATGAATTTCAAATGTACATTATTGTAGCATCCCAGTGCATCGAGTGTCGACAAGTCCTCGCCTGCAATGATCTTACCACATGTCCCTCCACCCATGTCTGTAAGTTGAATATTTAAAATAATATTGTTCAATTTGGTCATTACGTAGTTGATAAACTACATTTTCATCTAACTACACAGCTCTTGGAGCTCGTTAGCTTAGAATTTTGGTACATTGCCGATCTTAATAAATTAGCTAAATAAATTGCAGAAACCGATTGCAGAAGCGGGCAATTAGAGCTATATTTTCTTTAAAAAGACGACAAACCTGCAAACCTTTTTCTCAAACTGCAAACATCTTAACGTTTCCATCACTTTACATCTACAAAACCTTGTTATTCCTAAAACAAAACATCGACAAGTTCAACAATTCCCATATCCATGCATACAATTTAAGAACTTCTTATAATCTTCAAGTCCCTGTCCACTGTACAAACTTTTTAAAAAATCTCCGTTACAATGCAGTAAATATCTTTAACCACCTTCCAACGCATCTAAAGGCAGAGTCAGACCATCTGAAATTCAAAAGAAAGTTAAAATCTTTTCTATTAAATAAATGCTACTGCAGCGTCCGTGACTTCCTGACTGACGGCTAGAATCTTATTTATCTTAATTTTCCTTTAGACAGATTGATTTGTAAAAAGTATGTTTAAGTTAATTTTATTATTTTAAGTTCAATTCCAATGCATATTATATTATTTTGACCTAACCTATACATGTAATTGTGTCTACTTGGTTCAATAAACGAGTTATTGAGTTATTAAATTATTGAGTAGCTCTAATAATATATTTTATAACTAGGGAGTAATGTGACTAATTTTGGCCCGAACACTAGTATTACGATCGATGCAAAGATAAGGAGAGGAAATAAGTCAAAATTATTGAAAATACAACATGTGCCCGTGTGATGAACTATAATTTTTGTCAAGATGCTAAATTTTTAACCAAACAAAGTTACGACATGAAAATATTTTTCATGTAATGAAAACCTCTCTCAAAAACTTCCAAATCAATTTAAATTTTGCTAATGTTAGCTGCTTATTAGTTAGTGATTAAACTATTGCGCCTAACACGTTAGTGATGATGTTCATTATTATATCGATATGTCGAACTATATACAACAAGGCAAATATTTGCAATAACTGATAAAATTGTGTATTTAACCACCATGACGTAAAGTGACTCTTTTTTACCCCAGCTCAAGTTTTATGATCGCCAAAGGCGAGGTCGGAAAATGAGAGGGGGTTGAAAAGACACTTTTGGCCTGTGTGATGAACTGTATTTTTCCTCATATTGCATCAATATTTGAACAAACCATGTTAGAAAACAAAAATAGTTTTCATTGATAACCTATCAAAATTACTTCTAGCTTGTTTTCAATTTAATTTGCTAACGGAAACAAGCTGGGTTTAGTTAGTGATTTAACCGTTTAGTCTATTACGATTGTGTTACATCGTAATACACATTATTACACATTATCGTATTATCCATTATAGTATTATACCATCGATATGTAAAAATATTTACAATGAGGCAACAATAAGCTACAATCGTTAAACAATCGATATGTAATTTTGATGCATGTGATTGTTTAAAATAAAAAATTACAACTGAATTGACAGCAGCTGATTTTAACTCTTTAAAAACTAAAAACTCTAATTACTCCCTAGGGAGAAAATGAGCTGCTTTGGGCCTGCAACACATGTATGAAAAAAGCTGTTTAATTGCAGTATGACGAATAAATACGATAGTGGTTCATGACTAGTGACTGTCGACTATGACTAGTTGTTACTAGTGGCTAATGACCAAGGACTTTTGGCCAGCGACCAGTGGCTAGTAAATAGTAGCTATTGGCTATTTAGCCCGATGCTAGTGAACCTTGACTAAAAGCTAGCCACCAGTGGCTAGTAACTAGTGGTAAGTACCCGGTGACTAAAGGTTTGAAAGTTGGAGGTTTATCATTTGTGCAGGTATTTAATGTTAAAAATATATTCCAGACTATTCCGGGTCTTCCGAACGCCGGACGTTATTGGAACAAAAATCCATTGGTAATCGTCTCACATTTTACTTATATATGCACTATGTAATAATTTTCGATAGTTAATTGTTATTTAAAATAATAAATATAATGTATTTAGCGAATTTTAAAAGTTGGGAATACGTTATTACCGTAGGTCTTATGGTAATACCTGGACCTGAGACCAAATTACTTTTGAATACGTTATTACCGTAGGTCTTATGGTAATACCTGGACCTGAGACCAAATTACTTTTTTTGTTTGGATGTCCCCAGAGGCCTAAAAACCATCCGTTAAAACTCAAAGCAGTTTTAGTTTGAAATTTTCATAGTTATTTAAATTAATTGTTTAGTCAGCTTACTTGAAATTTAAGTGAACTGCCTTTTTGGTTTGATCCCACTTTATCACTAGTTAGAACTATACCTCTCTATTAGAGAGAAGGTTTTAAGCTTTAAATGTAGATGCAGGTCTCATAGAAGGTATATAATAACATCACTGGGTTTTCAACATTCCATAAATTTGGAACATGTTTATGCTTTACCCACGTTCAAAATAAAATTCACGAGCTGTCTCACAGACAACCAATGTAAAAAAGTTTAAAGTTGCACGATGTTCAAATATTATCAAGTTTAAAAGAATAGTAACTGCAATAAACGTTGTCTTATACAAGTTCTGGACGTCATAAGATTGGTAGCTGTGAAACAGCGCACTTTACACTCTTTAAAAAGTAGGTGTTATACCACACAGCCAGTTGCATGACGTCCAATAGCTCCGCGCTGTCCTATGACGTCCAGAGCGCCTGCACACATAGCCAGTTGCATGACGTCCAATAGCTCCGCGCTGTCCTATGACGTCCAGAGCGCCTGCACACATAGCCAGTTGCATGACGTCCAATAGCTCCGCGCTGTCCTATGACGTCCAGAGCGCCTGCACACATAGCCAGTTGCATGACGTCCAATAGCTCCGCGCTGTCCTATGACGTCCAGAGCGCCTGCACACAGTGAACATGTGTATACCGACTGTTGTGCATAGTGAGGTTTTTGTTAACCTAGCTCCGTGTGCAGGTTATCTGGTTGTAATTTTTTGGCAAAATTTCTTTTAGTATGAAAGTAAAATTTAATTAAATTCAAAACTGAACATATTTTGACGATTAAAGAATTTACAGTAAGTTAGTAGGCTAGATGGATAATTTAACAATTTTTGAAGTCTTTCGAGAGCAAGTTACATGTATTGTTGTTAATTGTTATTACAGCTTGTTTCTCTCAAATGGCACGTTGTTCTTGGACCTTCCTCCACGGTTTTTCCTGTCTTTTGGTAAATTTCCGTGAGCCGCTCCTCGTCCCTGCACATGGAATCACGCTTACAAGTCGTTGCCTGTGTGCAGGTGCGAGGGCGTGGTTCACCTGTCAGTTGCTTCCAAATAGGAAATAGTAATGATTCATATCTCTTTTTTAAATAATCGAAGTTCCAATCTAGTTTGGTTAAAAGACGTTCCTTTTAGTAATAAAATATTTAGTAATAAAACCTTCTCAGCGCACTCTGTTTGTGGCTCAAACATACAGCGTATATTTTCACTTCAAAACTCGTAACAGCTTCAGCATGGGAATGGAGTAACTACTTTTATCAATAGTCAATTGTGTAAATACATTGGGTTTTACTGTTTTTAAAATCTTTATTTGAAATTGTAATCATCGAGATTTGTCCTAAACTTTGAAATACTGCTAAGTGCAAATAAAAATGTTATAGATGGTAAAATTAATCTAAAACTAATTCCAACCAACAATATATTGGTTAAAATCATGTATAACATCACATAAAATAAAACGAAAAAAAACATTGCCACAAACCATTTGAATACCCCCTCCTTTTGTTGGTAGTGGGGAAGTCGGTTGAAAAAAGGTCGACCAAAAGTTCAAAATAATAGCTACAAAAGTTTCGCCGACTTTCCTAAATGTCCACTTTTAGTATAAAATAACTCGGTTTACAGGAGTTATTCTAAAACTCCATTAAAAATTGATAAATTGTGCTTAGTATCAAATAACCAACCAAATATTAAAACTAGAGAGTACTAAGGAAACTTTGTATTTAATTACAAATCAAAACAATAACAAAGATAAAAAATAATAACCTAATTTATTTTTTTAATCAACAGTTCAATTAAATTATAAAAGAGTGCACAAGACATTAGAATCAGTTTTGTAAATAAGTAATATTGCTTTAGAAATATGGTAACTTGCTCCAAAGATGCCACAGTTGAGGCGTATTTCGCATCGGTGGTTGATGAAAAACTATTATCAACATCAAATTTTAAATAGGCAACTAAAAACATCAGAGGTAAAAAAATTTAAAGTAATTATGTTTATAAACTAGCGTAAAATGTTTAATGAATTTCAAATGTACATTATTGTAGCTTCCCAGTATTGCCTCGGGTGCTGATAACAAAGATTCAAAGTCCTCGCCTGCACCAAGCTTACCACAGCCAGCCATCACTCCGCCCGAGTCTGTAAGTTGAATATTTTTTACAAAAAGTGTTTATATTAATTGTTCACTTTTAATTTTTCTTGGCCTACATTTTTTGTCTAACTAATCGAAAGTTAAAAGAGATATAAAAAAATTTTAAATCTAACTGTCTTGGATTTTTTATTTTAACATTTTTAGTCAAGTTGAAAAAAATAGCTTTAGCCGTTATTTTCCTGAGACTCCTGAATTCTACTCACTAATCAGACTACTCACTAAAAACCCCCTCTGCTCTGTTGCACACAGACCTGGAATTGTTTGTCACATTACTTCAATTCAGGCCAACATGTGACCTAAGCCCACAGGGCTCGCACCGTTTCTGGCATTATTATTATTTTTTTATTACCTACACCACATCCCGGTCAAGAACAAGCTTCTTGGCGCGGAGAACACTCTGGATGTAATGTGACACACAGGTCCAATTGTCCTCACCCTCCATCATCATCGGTATAACCGTGTCCACCGACAGCAGTCCTATGAACTGTTGAGCCTCCAAGCGGGGCCTTTCCCAACGCTGGCAGTGGAAGAAAGTGTGTTCCACGTCATCGGGAATGCCTGGGCAGTATATGCAATCGGGTGACACGGCTTTGCCATCCTGAACAAGTACGACCGGAAAAAGCCGTGACCCGTCAGAAATTTGGTGAGGTAGAAGTTTACCTCTCCGCACCACCGATTAACCCAAGGTTGGACTTGCTGTATCAGTCGCCTGGTCCAGAGCCCCCTTGTCTCCTGTTCCCAGCTCTCCTGCCTTGTTTAATCTGCATTTAGTAGGTATTGAATCAGTATTGGATTTCGGGATTATCTATTCTTATCCTTATGACTGCCAAATATTCTCATCATACCAGCCTACATTGGTCAGGAAAGCATTACAACATATAAGTGACCTTCCAAAGGTTTGTGCATGGTCTAGAGACCATGGGTTAAGACCCTGAAAAATTTTCCGCTACGCTCTTTGTCAATGCAGCAATCTATGAGCAGCTGAAAAAACACGGCCTCAAAGTCACAGTTAATAATTCAGAGCTATAGATAAATACCCCCGCCGCAGCAAACCTGCCGTCTAAGCGAATTTCCATTTGGCTGAATTGATTTTCAATCGATCTATTTAAATAACATAAGGTTTAACGAGTACCTAGGTTTGCTGCTACAAGGAAACTAATAAAGTGTGTGTTTTAAGTAAAATAATTATTGCTTAGTAGAAAATGAATATATTTGCCAAGTTTGATCAAAAGATATCCATAATCAAGCAAACTACAACATGTTACAATATTCTCCATAAGAATAACATGGGAATTTTAAATTTACAATTTTTTTAGTTTTCTCCGTAACCAATAACCGTACAAAAACACTTTGACATACTGAATTGTTTGTTTTTTTAAGCTCTTTAAGAAGGATTAGAGAAAAATTGGGAAATTTTGTGTTTTGAGGGTCAAAAGTGAGAAAAACCAATTTTTACCCCATAAAACCCCCCATAAAACCCTGTTCCCATGGTCCGATCATGCTGGATCGCGAACTCATTCAAGTTTATCCCGCATTACACCTTCAAACCAAATTTCATCAAAATCGGATAAAAATTACTCAAGTTATCGTGTTCACGGACACATATATATATAAATCTATATATATACCTATATATATATATATATATATACATATATAAAAATTTGAACGAATGGTGTTTTTGGCCTCTGGGGACATCAAAATGAAAAAGTAAATCGGTCCCGGGCCTAAGTCTTACCATGAGACCTACGGTAATAGCTACTTCCCTATAGGGAAATTCGCTAAAATAAAAAAATAGATACTTGGAGTGACAATTTACTGACAGCTGGTTTTTTTAACCATATCAAACAGATAAGCCAACGTGTTGTTGGAAAATTAAACGTGACTAATAGGTTTAGAACATTACTCTCAGCAAAATTCAAGTTGAGGTTAGTCAAATCCCCAACCTTATTTTCCCAACCAAATTTTCTCAACCTTAAATTACTGCTTACCTGTGTTCGGATACAGTTTATCATAGGAACAGATCACAATACATCACAGGCTCCAGAATTGCTCCCTAAGGGTTGTATACAACCTTACAAAATATGATCATATCACAAGTCACCGTAGAATGTGAAATACAATGTCCGTCCGAGAGATCTGTGATAAGCAGGTTGCATGCATCGTCCACAAAACACTGGTCACTGAGGAAAAACACGCAGTACTTGAAGGAAAAACTGAAAGCGAGGTCGGCCATGAGAGAGCGCTGAACTAGTAAGGACGTTGCTTGGCATATCAAGGATTGTTCTTGATGCTTGTAGAAAGGGGGTTTTCCTACTTCGGGCCAGCTCAATACAATGTACTTCCTTGCACACTAAAAGGACGGTCTTACAAAAATTTTAAGAATCGCCAGAAGAATTTGTAATTAATCTTATTTAAATTTCATAAACTATTGATTTAACTATTGCTATTTATTCAATTTTTAAAACAGTTTTGTAACTGAAATTTGCTCATGAATAAAGACCTTACTTATTTACTTATTTATTTAATAGTCAATTGTATTAATACATTGAGTATTATTGTTTTTAAACTCTTTATTCAAAATTTTAATTATCGAGGTTTGAGATAAGTTTTATTGAAACTCTACAATACTACTAATTGTTAATAGTAAAGTCAATTGATAGTATACTTAAAGAAAAGTTTTACCCCAGCACTTTCCCTGGGTACTTTTACCTCAGGGAATGCACTGAGCGCTTTCCTGGTGCTCCGGAGTTTTGCTTATATTACATTACCATACCTGATTTGAACACTTCATGGCAAACAATAGGGGAATGTTTGCAACAGGTAACAAAAGTTACATTTTTACAGGCTTCAGGAGCGGATCAGAAAACCCCTCCCATACCCTCATCTGTAGTAGGCTTTGACAAACCTGAAAACGACGAGGACGAAGTGGTACGTTAATTCTATACAATTAATTACTTATTCATTCATAAGGGGCTTGTGACCTATCTGAGCTCAACATCTAAAAAAGTGAAGTTTTTTTTAAGAACCAGGATATATAAAAGTGGGAGTTAATATGATAATAGTTTGTGGGACGCAATATTACGCTTCACAAAATCTCGCAATACCTTTTCAACTGTATTTTGAAAAGCGATTGGGGCTCAAACGTTTAAATATTAAAAGAGCACAATATAATAAAGTGTAATTATATTTAGTCTTGTATAAGAATCCTATTTTTTCACTATTTGGTTTCATAGAAAAACAACCATTAAAACCTAAATAAAAAAACAACTTGAGATAAAATAATTTATTATTCGCACATTAACAGACATCACTTCAAAACCCATATTTAGGTTCAGGGAGAACGAAAACTATTATTTCCACCAAAAACTCGAACTTGAAAAATTTGTAAAAAACAAGAGAAAGTGAAAAAAACTCCGTTGATTATAGTAATGTAAAAATTGTCTAATAGTGTTCAATCAACTTTAAACTCATAGCTTTACATTTTTACAGCCTATAAGTTCAGCGAAAGATGAAGTAAACCATCCAACTGTCTCTGCTGCAACAAACGCGCCTAAAGAAGAGAGTTCTCCAACTCCGCCTGTAAGTTTAATCTAAATTGTAAAAAGTGATTTTGATTTTTAATATTCATAAGTTAGTTTGGTCTCAAAACTGCTAAATACAGCTACTTCTATTTTTATTCCAACGGTAATTTATCAATAGTCGATCGTATATACATTTTGTTTAACAATTTTTTACTTCCACGTTTGGTATCATTGACAGTGGATATAGGGGTATAAGTTTAACACAGCCAAAATAAGAGAGCAAAAAGAGCTAAAAAAAAACCGTTAATGTCAAGATTATTTTTCCAAAGACTTTGGAAATGGATCAGAATACCTCCCCATAACCTCATTCGTATATAGCTTAAACAAACCAGAAAACAACCAGGACGCAGTTGGTTAATTGAGTCTAGATATTAATGAAATAGCTTATTCGTCATTGAGGGGGATATTTATTCGTTTTGAAGGGAAACCACAGTAGGTTAAAGTCTCAATTAGTTAGGGGCGTAATTGCATCAAGAGATAGCTGGAGAGCTGAGTGTCTAGGCAGAGCGCGTACTTCAGCTTAACATTCTCAATACCTCGTCGTTGACTTTGACCTTGGCAACAATAGCTTCTTTGAAACTGGTTTAGACAACCGAACCATTTCTTGGATGATAAAATGTAGAGAAAAGCTTATAGATCTCAACTATAAACCATGGATTGTCTACAAAAACCACACATGTTCCTTGTGTAATTTAAACGAGAATGAATCTCTTTTACACTTTGTGGCTAGTTGCCCTGTGTTCAATGACTTGCGTCTCTTGTAGTTTGGGAAACCGAAAATACGATATAAGGAGTTTGTGGATTATTTGAATGAGAAGGATTGGCGGGGCCTTGGAAGCTTATTATTTTTTTAATTGCATGGAAACTTAGATGGGAGTTAGTTAGGGCTTTTAATTTTTAAATTTTGTTATCTTAAAAACCATTTTTGAATGATTATAGACGATGTAATTACAATATGTTTACGGTATACATATATGTGCATGTATGCATACATGTGTATGTGTATATATGTATGTATATGTGTTGCCTAAAGAAGTGTTATTTTATTTTGTTTTAGTGCTCAGTATGTCGATATATGTGGGACAATGTTATTAATATTGAATGGACATTATGCCAACCCAGCAGACGGTCGTATGACCATTGTTGTATGTGAACTATGTATCAAATTATCGTATCCATGTCATGTACTGTACGTAATATGTATTCAATACGTTCAATAAGTTCTAGTACGTTTCTATTGTATTCAAAAAGGGGGATATTGAACCAGCTGAGCACAACGTTTGAAAAAGTTATGTTTTCAAAAACCAAGACCGTGTTTTAAATCAACAATATCTTGCAGTCACTGCTCCCGAAATGTATAAAATAAACTTAGACATTACCAAAATATTAGTAATGTTTTGTATAACTTATTAATCTGTTAAAAGTTAAACAAAATAATAATAAGGTAAATTTGTGTTAGGAGACAATACATAATTTCCGAAAATAAATTTTTATTTGTAAAATAATACTTATTGTAAAACTTAAACTTAACGACACATCCCTTACTTACTATACATTGTTTAAAATACCAGTAATGTTCGGAAAAAAGCCCAGTTTCATATTAATGGCATAATCAATGTCACTAATTTAAATAAGTTTACAATATTTCCCTAACATATATTTTGATAGTGAGATGGAATATTTCTATGTTACCAGTAAATTATAAAATCCAAGCGTTTTATAGAATGGTTCGTAGATTGTTTTAAATATTACCTAAAGCTTTTCGATGAGGATGAAATATATTAATAGTAGGAATTTATAATTTATAACTTACTTAATTAAAACTAAACTAGGCTTTTCTGCGAAAATACATTGTAACATTATGGGATTTTATTGAAAAAAAAAATTAATAATCAAAATTAAAATAAGCTGGAGATATAATTTTACTATCCACAAGCTAAATTTAATCCAATCAGCCCTCAGGTGTAGTATATATAGATATGAATGGATCCACACTCAAACACACACACATCACTTCAAAATCTATACTCGAAAATGATGATGACATAAATACTTTCTCCATATACCATGTACAGCGGGAGAAAGTGATAGAAAAATCCGTTTCCTCCTCTATATATGTAGCAAAATGTTGTTTTCCACATTAAACTCAGAGCTGTATATGTTTACAGTCTTTAAATACAGCGGCAGACAGGAAAATAGATTCAACCGACTCTTCTGCATCAATAGCACATGGACAAGAGAGTGCAGCGCCTGGACAAGAGAGTGCAGCGCCTGAACTAGAGAGTGCAGCGCCTAAACAAGAGAGTTCAGCGCCTCCAAAGACGCATGTGAGTTGAAACTAAATAAGAAAAACAATCTTTATTCGATAGAAGTATTTTAAAACCTCTTCATCGCATTCTTGGTAGCTTAATTAAACTTCGTCAATTTTCATTCCAAAACTGTCTTGAGTTTCAACTTGGGAATGGAATCACTTTTTCTAGCGACATTCAACTCTATTCATTGGGTTTTATTATTTTTACATTTCTACATAAAAAAATTGCATTAATAAAAGTTGTGATAAGTCTAACTTAAACCATAAACCATTGAAAGATATGTTTTTGTTTGGTAACATTAATCTAATAACAAATAGTTGTACTCACACAGCACTTAGTTAAAAAAATTATTTGTTCCAGATATTGTTTATTTCATAAAATAGTAATACTCGTACCTCGTGAAAAATATGGCAGCCGAAAGGTTATACATTAAGAAAACACGTAAATGTTTTTACCTTACAAAAATATATAGTTTGTTTATCTATTAAAAAGTTTATTGCTCCACGAGAACTGAATATGACCATTAGAATTAATTGTGAGATGAATCCTTAATCATATTTAAGGGTTCGTTCAAAATGTACAACCAATCGTAAATAGGATCCAACAGATTTAATTGAATTATTACAGTCTTAAAGATTCAATACATATTTCAAAATATACAGCTAGTTTTACCTCATAATGAACAAGCTAAGTAGCAAAGTAGCAATACAATACCACAAATGGATTCAAAACGACAGTTAATATCAAGGTTACATTTTTACAGACTTCAAAAACGGATCAGAAAACTGGCCCCATAACCTCATCTGTAGCGAGCTTTAAGAATCCAAAAACCAACCAGGACGAAGTGGTAAGTTGAGCTTAGATAAAAAAATAACTTATTTATATATATATATATATATAAAAATTGAGTTTTTATATATATATAAAAATTTGTAGTATATATAGGGGAAGTGTATACTATCTTAGTACAAGATGCCAAAAAGTGATTGTAATAATTTAAAGAACAAAAACTTTCTTTTAACCTCCTTTTTTTAAAGGAACAAAGAATTTTTGGTTTCTGGCAAAGTATAACATCCAAGCATTTAATGATCATTTACTGTATGTATATACTGCCTAAAAAGCTTTTTTGTAAAGGATGAAATTAGATAATAAGAATAGGAGTTTATACACTTTGTAAATATTTTTTGTGGAATACCTTGAAAAAAAATCAAAGGATTTGACTACAAACTATTTACTCTAGAAATATTTACATTACTATCAGCAACATTTTACAAGCTTTCTCCCATTAGCTTTTCAACGACCCTAATCATTGATAAGTGGTAGTCACGAATTGTGGATATTTATAGGCACGCACTGTGGATGCGGTACTCCCTGTTGTCGATTAACGTCTGCACTAGTGAGTACTACGACTGTCCACAGTACTGACCTGATAATTAGACCAATTCGTAAATTACAAGGCAAAAATGTAATTTGGATTCCACTTTAACCTGAAATCCCTTAGTTGCCATTGGCTGTATGGGCTATTAATTAACAGCCGAGTCTAAGGAAAAATTTTGGCCTCGGTCACTAACAAGACTACAAGACCACACCACTCATCCTACACTCATCTCCATTCATACTTGGCTTAAATTGCCTACATTCGTACGGTTGCCGTTTCAAAATACATTGTTGAAGTAACTGATGAATACATAATGTTACGGTCCTTTTCAATTTAAAGGAAATGAATAAAGTAAGTTACTTTTTGGGGAAATCCCAAAAACTTCAATAATTTTTTAACCGTATTTTTCACAATAGTGGGGGTTTCTTTAAATGCATTCATTCATTAACTTTGAATTAAAATGGGCCATAACATTAATTCAATCAAAATCGGGTTTGTGTGAAAATCTTTTATTCATAGTTTATGAGTTGAAAGGAAAGTCCGTTTCCTCTTCTATACTTACGCAGCAACTAGCTACACAAATGTGTGTTCAATCCACATTAAACTCACATCTTACATGTTTTCAGCTTCCAAGTACAGCAGGAGATAGACAAAATGGTTTAACCGAATCTTCTGCAACAAACAAGCCTGAACAAGAAAGTTATCCCAACGGGCCTGTGAGTTGTGTCCAAATAGGAAATAATTTTTAAATAATCAAAGTTGCACGTTAGTTTTATCCAACAAATCCCTTATTATCAGTATCAAGACTACATCACCTACCTCTGTCTATGGATTTTATAAACAACATATACCGTCATACGGAAGGTGTCTCAAATTGATTATGGAAAAATGGCTTAAGGTACAAGGATGAAATGAAACTATTTCCCGCTAAATCCAAGGAATAACGTAAATTTTAAAAATAGTTGTTTAGCCTCCGGATTACTGTATTTATACTTAAAATGGTTTACAATACCTGCATATAGTAATCCTTTGTTGCTGATTTAGGCAACTAGTTTCGGTTCTTGTTTTGAACCATCTTCAGGCCTCAAGGTGTCAAGTGATCACTTCATTCGTAGGTCGTTAACAGAGTTCAATAAATAAAACATATACCGTTCCGTGTATCGTGTTTTGTATATGTTTTATTTATTGCACTATGTTAACGACCTACGAATGAAGTGATAACTTGACACCTTGAGGCCTGAAGATGGTTCAAAACAAGAACCGAAACTAGTTGCCTAAATCAGCAACAAAGGATTACTATATGCAGGTATTGTAAACCATTTTAAGAATAACGTAAAAATACTTTTCAACATACTCCTGATACAGGGTGTGCCAAGAACTGAGGGTCACTAGATTGAATCTCGGAATTTTCAAAAGTAAATATATGCCATGTTATACATCACCTTAAAGGTATTTTATAGACAATCATTTTGGCAAAAACAGAAAAGCTATTACCTTTTTCCGTTTCAAAACGGTGGCAGTTTTTTGTGGGAAAAATCAGTATGCTTTTATGACTCTGTGTTTCATATACCAATGCACTTAGCCCTTCTCCCGTTGAATTTTCTTACTCGTTATGAGTTTAGCTTTACTGTAAAATGCTACAAGTAACGATATTTTGAAATTTTTAAATATTCCAAAAAAGTTAGTTTTTGAAATTTTGCAAATGCCCATTGTTTAAAATTTTCATAAGCAACATATATCAAGTGACACTTCGTTTTATAGGTTTTTTTTTAATTCTTAACAACTGTGTAATTTAAGCTTACTTCTTATTTGTTTTTTTTTGTTTTTATTTAAATAACTAAAAACCTAATTTTCCTATATCAAATGCATGTTATTTGGGTTTAACACTAAATGAATTGGGGCCAATAGTGTTAAACCCAAATGACGGGTGTTTTTTTGGCACACCCTGTATCGAAAAATGTAAAAAATATTCTTACGTTATTCCTTGGGGTTCTGATTTAGCGGGAAATAGTTTTATTTTATCCTAGGACGTTAAGCCGTTTTTCCGTAATCAATTTGAGACACATTACGTGGGACACCCTGTATATTCTTTCCAAAACTGGCTTTTAGCTCAACATGGGAATGGGGTAAATACTGATACCAACAGTTACTTTATTAATGCATTGGGTTTTCCTGATTTTAAATGTTTTCATAAATTTGTTACATTGACAGTTGAGATAAGTTTCACTTCTCCACAATACATAAGAAAATATATTTCTCCTAATTTAAATATCGAGTCTAATACGTCTAATACCCGACGGCCTGAAGGTTGTTGCATCTAGCAAAACATTTAAAGAAAAACTTAAAGATATGTATACAAAAAAAAATATTATTGTCTAAGTATATAACGGCCAAATAGTAGAATAAGATATTTGGCATATTCACGAAAGTTGTTCTGAAAAGCTGGTGTACCAGAGAAACGCTTAATAAAGACATTTATTTATTTATTTACGTGTTATTCACACAGCACATAATTAGTTACAAATTATGTATAATCGTATCAAGTAAGTGTAATATCCATAATTTACTTAAAGACCTTAACTAAATAATGACTTAAATATTTTTACTTACAAATATATATTGTCTCTTTGTACAACAAAAAGCATGATTGTAATAGTACGAACTAAGAGAATTAGTGAAACCGCAAAATATAAAATGAAAATTAAACATTTAATATTGATTAAGGGTTCTTTCTATACGTACCAAATTTTAAAAGCGTCTTACCAAAATTAAATGTTTACAGAATTCAGAAACGGATCAGAAAACTGGCCCCAAAACCTCTACTGTAGAAAGCTCTAACAAACCAGAAAACAACCAAGATGTAAAGGTAAATAGGGTCTAGTTAATAAATAGCTTATTCATACACAAGGGGTATGTGAACTTTCAAGCACAACATGTCAAAATGTGATCGTATGTTTTTAAGAATCAAAGCCGCTTCTTAAATATCATATATTTTTCGGTCTCTGTTTTAAAAACGGATCAAAAAAACTAAGATATTCAAACAAATATAAAGTAATTATCTTTTTGAATATTTGTCCATTAATTTGTTATTTCAATCAATCTGTAAGTTTCAATTCATAATAATAATAATAGCAGGCCTAAGGTTAATGTTCATTAACATACAGTCCAAAAATAATCATGTCAGAAAATACGTATTGTTTTGTAAAATAATATTAGTTAAGCTTAAATGTAACCACACATCCGTAACTTACAGGTATGATAATTTGTAAATAGTATTTGACAAAAGGTTAATGCCCAGCCGTTCTCTGCTGCCGCCTCTAGAGGTGGGGTGGCAAGTCAGTGCCCCCCTCCTCACATATGACGCCAAGCCTCTTTCTCCCCACCTCCTAGATACCGTTGCAGACGTGGGGGGGGGGGGTTTAACCCGATTGTTAAAATAAATTTAAAAAACGGTTTCTTACTACTCAGCAAATTTTTCGTCGTTACAATTTGTTTACAGAAACTATTTACTTTACAGATATTTACGTTACTATCAGCAACCTGACACTTATTTTCTACAATTGGCATGTCAACTAGGCCTCCCTCAAATATTGGTGAGCGATGGGAGTAACGATGGTACTTTATGAGGAAATTCACTAAAACTGCAATGGGTTTTGAACCGTAATTTTTACAAAAGCTGGATTGTCCATTTTGTTTAAATTGAATAGTATCGTCATAAACTTAATTTAAATTTATATTGATATTTTAGATAATGTTTTTTCTGATTATTTGACGTGCTTTTATATAAAATTACCATTACAAATCTATATTTTTTTACTGCAATTAGCACCTACATAGCAAATGTTGTCAGATTAGGACCTCCAGTGTGGTATATAGCTCTGTATAAATGTACACAGCAGATACGTCACTTTGAAAACTTCTTATTTAGTTCAAAGTGGGACGAAACGTATATTTCCTCCGACAAATCAAACTCGAAAATGTTGATAAAATCAATACGTTCTCCATATACAGTACCATGAACAGGTGGTAAGTGAAGGAAAAGTCCGTTTCCTTCTCTATACCAATGTTGTAAACTGGTTTAAAATATAGAACTTACAGCTTTACATTGTTACAGCCGTCAAGTACATCAGGAGTTAAAGAAAGTGATTCAACCAACGAGCCTGATCCTGACTGTATTCCGGACGTGCCTGTGAGTGGAATATATAAAGATATAGTAAACATATTTATTTTTTTATGACTAAACTTTCATGATAGTTTGTTTAAAATCATTCCTTATTTTGTAGAAGTATTCTGTTGGTGGCAGAATTGAAATTTAAGTTTGTAACTCAACAACTCTAGTTGAGGTTAAATTAACTTAAAATCCTCAATACAAAGTAAGTTATTTTTGACAAGCTATTTAAACCCTAAACAAAACGTTGTATTCACACAGCACATAGTTTCTGATTTTGTATGTTCTGGACACTTAAAAAGTAAAAAATATAGTTTATTCATCTCAAAAAACAATTTGTTGTATGTGGTCAAACTAAAATTACCAAATGCACAAGTAGGAAATGAAAGTTTCATATCTATTTACAGTTCAATCCTTACGTACAACCGCTAATCTAATCCTACTGATTTTGTTAAACTATTGCTGTTTAAAAGGCCTAATGCAGCTAGTTTATATACAGCTATGTATACTATTTGGAGGAATATTTTTCTACACGGTAAAAGTATTATCGACCAATTAATTACAAAATAACAGATTATGTCATGCTCACATTTTTACAGACTTCAGAAACTGATCAGAAAAACGTTGACAAACCGAATAACACCCAAGACAAGAACCCCCCCAAGGTAAGTGATGTCTAGATATTGAATAGCTTATTTGTCCATAGGAATCATGAATAATGAATATGAGTTATTAATTTATTTATTTTCCCTTTCAAATGCGTTTAAAATTTATGTAATTAGTTATATCGATAATCGAACACATACAGTGAATAGTTTATGATTCTTCCCAGTCTGGTGAATATACCAACATTTAGAAGGAATTGATTTATGGTACATACAAAAGAAAAAAAATCAGAGCCTCCAAGACCATGCCTGTTGGGATTTCCCATTGTAATTTTTTAAATAAACAAAACAATGCTACGTTCAAAAATAAATGAATAAGTAAAGGAATACCAATCTTACTCAAAACACGAATATACTAACTTTATGTTATAAATAACACATTTTGTTAACTTTTAAAAATAAACATACTTTTAGAACCTACTCTATTTAAATTAGGTATCAAAGTGAAATGATGGCCTATTCCACTCAAGATTTTGTTACAAAAGATATATGAACCTACTTGTAAAAACTAAAACGTATTATGTGCTAATTGTAGCTATTCAGGAATAACTACACATGAATAACTTCATGGATCATCAACCCGTTTTTGAAGTTTTTTTTTAAATAATATATATATATATATTTGTTCTTTCAGATTTTAATGTCATCTCTTAGATAAACAAGGCCCAATGAACATAAAAGTCTTATCAAAAATTTGTTTTTTGGCATTGGAACTTAGAAGTAATCTTCGTTCTACAGCATTCTCCTGTATGCATTTTTCGTCGTCGTATGTTATCGCTTTCATCATCGATTGTTTTTAACTTTAAATATTAACAAAGATTTTTTGCGAAAATTTTCAAACTAAACAACGAGTGGGAACCTTCATTAATTTTATTTAAATTCTGACTAACATTGTTAGAAGTTATTGTAGTTGATAAATTAAATTTAAATTTATCGTGTATGCGCTACTACAAATAGAAATTCTATAATCAAGTTGGCTGTGCACAAGTGAAAAATATATACAAGTATGTTCCTAAGGTTATAGGAAACTCTAATCACATCGTTAATTTTCTTTTTGGTACTATTAACATACGTTTTCAACTTGAATCCTGATCTAAAGTTATACATTGGCATTTTAAATTGGATTGGTTCAATGGCAGAAGATTCTTTAGTTGGACAGGAATGCCAATTCAAATTTAAAAATCAAACAGCACCATTTTATATAATTATTGGCTCCGGATGGTATCATTTTCCCGAAGTTATAGTTAATAAAAGTGGTTAGTTAATATAATTGCGTGTAATGACTGAGCATTTCATTGCATTCCCCCAGTTTTGATTCTCTAAGTATTAAATAAAGAATCCGTCTATAAAATCATGCACTTAACAAATATTTACTTTACTATTTGTTTAGGTTTAGGCTAGGCTTCTTTAACTTAAATTGTATTATTTAACTCCAAACAAGAAATCAACAGTTAAAAAAGACCCACAAGAGTATTTTAGACCTTATCTGGGGTACCGATGGGTATTGTATTGTATGACTAGGCAAAGTAAATAATCGGCTGAATATCTCGTTTTGCCGGGCTATAGATAACTTTGATAAAATATTATTATTATTTATTGAGATGATGACGCTAACTAGGTGCGTATTTCAGCCCAAATATGTGTGAAGGATGAGTGCAGAATTGGGTAACATGATCCGTGTAGTATTTTTAGTATGATTATGAGTAGTATTGTAGTATGAGATCATTTGATTAGCCAGGATCTTATCTGTACATGTTTTGACTTACATTGATTTTGATTTATATTTTGACGGAAACGTATACGGTGCGTCTCAAATGTCCCACCCCCTGTTAATTTTTTATTAAAAGAGAAAACAATTCTAATATTCAGAGAATGTTTATATGATTAAAAAAGGAAGTCTTTGGTGTATGTAAATTTTCACCCCCTCCACCCAAAAAGGCTTTGTGGGTAAGTCGAGTTTAAAAAAAGTCAAAATAAACGAAAAAATATTATTGCAAACAAGAGGTCTTTTCGTCAATTCTATATAAGGTATCGCAGCTTAAAGTTTATTTATTTTCAATACCAAATAAAATACCTATCAATATCCAAACCTTTTTATTAGATTTATAAAAACTAACTCATCACTTACCTGTGAGTATAAATAAAGAAATTAATACTATTCGTATGAAAATGAGAAAAAAAACCTTACTAAAATTCTACAAAACCTTACCGACCTATCCACCTTTCGGGAATCTCATCGTCTAAAAACTCGCATACTCGAAATAAGATGGTGTACCATCCCATTGAAGGTTCGTAATCACCTTCTAGAGCAATGTCATTTATATCTGGTATACTGTCATTTCGTAATAATTCTAAGTATTTATCTCCATTTAAACTGCAATATAAAAGGTCCTACAACCGAGTCCACTAAAATCCTCACCCATACATTAATTCTTTGTGGCTGTTGCGTGTGAGCTTCAACCATCCAGTGTGGATTTGCATCTGCCCAGTAACGGAAGTTGTGACGATTAACCGTCCTATGTACCGAAAATGAAGCTTCGTAACTAAAGCATACCATAGAAATTAAATTAACATTTACCTCAATCTTTTGCAACAGGGTCTGACAAAATTGAATTCTTCAGTCAGGATCCTCCGCATTTAGTTCCTGGTGAAATTGAGCTTTATAAGAATTTATTTATGTCGTTTTAATATGTGATGAACTGAATGTTTTAAAATTCATGTGCAGTTGAACGAAGAGACTGATGGTGGGTAGGCTGCAAAATTGGTTAAAACGTAAACTTAAAACGTAAACTAATAGCTTCAGTCCCCACAGACGGGCGGCCCCATCTTGGGGTATCTTTGATACTGAGTGTGGTTGAAAATATTTGAACCAAACTACGAATGTATGTACTGTTGGTTGGCATATCTGGATGTGCATTCTTAAATCAACCGCCTGTCAATTTCTCCTTTTCTCACCATAAAACAAAATCATTTCTACCTTTATTTTCACCTCATCGAACCATTTTTCGGGTAATAAAATTACCTATTATTCCTAAAATAATTATTAAAACACAAACTATACCCTTAGTCTTTATCTTAGAAGTTTAAGATTAGCTTTTATTACAATTTGAAAAGTTTAGCGGCCGGGAGCAAACTAACAGAGCTGTTATCACAAAGTGAGTGCCTGGCAAATTACGTCAATCAGGGTCGCTACCCTTGCACTGTAACCTCGAGAAGGATTTAGCCTGTCATTGGAAACTGCCTGTAAATGTAAGCATTTCAATGAAAATTAATAAAGGTACTTTCTGCTCATGAATAAGTATCATTTCTTTATTTATTTACACAAATAAGTATTTTATTAGAAAAAAACAACTTTTAACTGCAACAACTTTTGATATGATTGACGTATGGACCTCTAGTTTGCGCCACAGCTTTTATTTTGTTGTGATCTTTACAATTATGTATAACTCGATAGGGGTTTACATTAGAAAGTTTCAACTTACACCCAATCTACCACTTTTAGGGGGAGGAGGTAAACATTTACATACACCAAAAACTTCCTTTTTTATCATATAAACATTCCTTGAATATTATAATTGTATCTCCATTATTAAAGACCAATAACAGGAGGTGGGACTTTTGAGACGCGCGGTATAACAATTTCATGACAGCCATCTAACATTTCTCTGAAAAAAGTTATATTGTAATAATAAACTATTTTAAGGTATTCTTTACTCTGTTTTTCCCTAAAGGAAAAGCTAACAGAAGGGGTACATAAAGAGCTACAAGCAACGGAAGAGGAATTACCTACACCACCTAAAACAAAGAAACGTTTTAGATGTATGCCCGCAGAGAAAGGTGAGAAGAAACAATGGAGGATCGTAAGATTCTTTAAAAGAAAAACTGAAAAACCAAAGCACAATAATTAGGAGAATCTTGTAGTAGAAGCAAATGCCATAGGCTATTCTTATTTCAACTGCTTGTTTACGACTTAAAGAGGAGGATTTGCACGAGATTATTATTACTAACCAAACAGGATTTCAGAAGTTAAAACAGGAAAGTAGTACATTTTCTGTGTATTCAGCTCAAGGTTTTTTGTAATTTCTTATAATGAGTCAAAATTTTCATTTATTAATTTTACAGCACTCGCAAATAAATGTATTTAAAAAAAGAAAAAATCAATAAACTGTTATTGTTTATTTTTTTATTTTTATTTAAATAATTACCCAAGCATACTACCTTGATCGGATGACCGTGGCTTGGCAGGATGGCGTGCGTTAGGCATAAGTGTGGCAGAGAGTGAATGTGTGTGAGTGTATTTGTATGTTTAGGGATTACGATTCTATTACTTTAGTTAATCATTATATTTGGTCTCGAATTTAAAATCATTGTGTGTTAGGAAATCATTATTTAGATTTACGAGGTTAACTGTAAGAAAGGACTATGTGGTCCTAATTGTTCGCCTCAATAAATAAGTATTTTTATTCATTCATTCAATCCTATTTAAACATAAATAAATGGAATGTCTAAGGATACATAGGTAAGTATGGAGTTTGAATGACATGTTACTCTTTAAATCAAAATTACCTTTAGAACGGTGGATTTAGATAACGTACCAAATATAAATCTACCAACGTAAGTACACCATATTGTTAAACACATATCTATACAAACACCTATGTTTTTTAAGTTACTATATTTTTTAAACCTATTCTTACACATTTGTGATCAATAAATAGTCCAATTGATCATCATAAATATGACATTCCAAAAAAATGGTTTGTTGTTTTTAGGAATTTTCGAAGGATGAATAGTTACATTAGGTAGTAAAAAAAAAATATTTACAAGTAATCTATAGATTTAATACGAGAGGCCAGTTTCTGACAAACATTCATCCTGTATGGACGCTTTTTATCAAACTTTGTGTTGACTCCCCTATGATTAACTCCTCTGAATTTCCCCAACAAGCCATTTAAATCATAAAGTATTCCTAATGAAAAAACGAATTTGTTAACTTATTTAGACGAGTTATTAATTGCATACTAAAGCAGTTGAGGAGCTAACATGCCGTTAGCTTAATATAGCAGACGACAAAATAATGTCACAATTAATTATGTCCTTATGTCCTTACATAACCTCGAGTCGTTTTTGTGAATGCAACTCCTATATTATAGCTTGAGCAACTTTAAAACATTGAAAGTGTTAAATAACTTCCCTCAGTTCTTCGTTGCACTATGTTTTAGGCATTTAATAAATATGTGTCAAATAAAGAAGTTTTATATTGATTAACAATTTTTATCTTAGGAATAAAATGTTACCAACTGAATTATTTGTAAATACAAAACAACAACAATCTCCAGATGATCTTAATAATAACTAAATAAATATAAAAGAACAACAAACATATGACATCTTCTCTTCCCTTTTTTTAAAGACACGTTCTTCTTGGTGGATTTATTTGTCTACCAAATGAGGAAAAACAATTAGGCTCAGTTCCAGGGTCATCAGATGTTTTGGGTTGTAGTTGTCTTAGCATTACCCCGTTGCGACGTAACATGCCTTCGTTTGTCTTAACTGTGTATGATCTTGGAGCTACTTTATTAACTATCTTCCCATCTTCTCTCCTATCAGGAATATACACATTGCATCCAATAGTGAATTGCTTTTCATCTCTCACTCCATGCCGTTTATTGAAGTAATCTGCTTGAGTTGCTCTATATAGTTTGTCCAATTCTCTAAATGTCTTGTGATCTACCATTTTAGGCTTGAGATCTTTCGTCAATGACGGTAGTCGGGTTCTTAGTCTTCTTCCCATCAACAATTCCGAAGGGCTGTACCCTGATGGACCTGGTGTTGACCTGTACTCCAGTAATGCAAGAGTGGGGTCTTTGTTCTTTGTAAGCATCTTTTTAAGCGTTTGGACTGCTCTTTCAGCTTCACCGTTTGCCTGATGGTGTAAGGGACTACAACAAATAGTTTTAAACCCAAAATCGGCTGCAAAGGCTCTCCATTCTGAGCTTGTAAACTGTGAGCCAGAATCAGAAATTACGATTTCAGGGATCCCATGTCGAGCAAAACAGGCTTTCATCTTCTTGATTAGTTCATCTACAGTCATTGTGGACACATTTATCATTTCCAAGTACCGTGAATAATAGTCCACAACAGCCAAGTATTTGCCTTTCCCAAAGTCAAAGTAATCAACTGCTATTCTTTGCCATGGATAGTCAGGAGTGTCTGATTGAATCATTTTTTCTGACTTTTGGTTTTGGTGTTTAGCACAAGTGTCACAATTTTCAATCAAGTTATTTATCTCTGTTGTAATTCCTGGCCAAAACACAGATTGTTTCGCTCGGAGGACTGTGCGTGTAGACCCGAAATGACCATCGTGCAGTTTATTAATGATATCTTTTCTAAGTTCAAATGGGATAATAATTCTTTCTTTATAACATATCAAGTCTTCTATTATAGATAGGTCGTCATTAAAGGTATACCACTTTCTCATACTCTCTGGCACACCCTTCTTATATTTAGGCCATCCATTTTCTGTGTATTTCACCAACATCTGACATTCTTCACACAGGATCTGGGCATTCTTTATTTGTTCCAATCTTGACTGTGTTGCTGGAAAGTTTAAAGATATTACCTTAATGTGTGCCTCTACCTCTTTTGTGAACTCATCTGTAGAATCTGGGATCGGCGCTCGGCTTAATGTGTCTGCTGTAAACATTTCTTTTCCGGGAATGTGTTCGATGGAGTAGTCAAATTTCATCAATCGCATTTTGAATCTCTGAATCCTAGCTGGCATTGTGTCTAGGTCTTTGCTTCCAAGGAGTGAAACTAATGGTTTGTGGTCTGTTAGGATTCTAAATTTTTTTCCAACTAAAAACTTAGAAAACTTTTCTGCGGCCCATGCACATGCAAGAGCTTCCTTTTCTATCTGGGCATATCGTCTTTCACAGTCCTGTAAGGTCCTTGAAGCAAACATCACTACTTTGGGAGATTTATCTTCAACCTGAAGTAACATTGCACCCAATCCATATGCTGATGAATCGGCTATAACAATAGATTCAGCATTTACATCATACTTAGTTAAAGATATTGATTCATTGACGGTCTGTATAATGTCTGAAAGGGCTTCTTGATGTTGACTTGTCCAACAAAATTGTCTATTCTTTCTAGTAAGCTCACGGAATGATTCAGTTTTATCAGCTAAGTTTGGAATGAACTTGTTCAGTTGATTCAACATACCATTTAATCGTCGAACTCCCGCAATATCTTTAGGAGGGGGAAGTTCCTCGAGTGCTCATATACGATCAGGATCGACCTTGATACCATCACAGTCGATCAGGTTTCCAAGAAACTTCACAGATGTTTGGGAAATAGAACATTTTTCTTTGTTCAGTACAACCTTTGCTTTTTTTAAGCGATCTAATACTTGAGTGAGCCGGTAATCATGCTCCTCTTGTGTTCGGCCATGTATAAGTATGTCATCCATGTGACATAATACCCCATCGATACCATTTAAAAGTTTAAACATCTGTGTAGTGAAAAACTCTGGTGCGCTTGTAATGCCAAAGGGTAATCTCTTGAAATAAAATCTTCCGAATGGAGTAATAAAAGAAGTTAGTTTAGCTGTGTCAGGTGATATTTTTATCTGCCAAAACCCTGACTGGGCATCTAGTTTTGAAAATATTTTAGAGCGCCCAATTTGCCCTAGTGTTTCTACTACATCTGGTAGTATTATCTTTGGCCGTTTAACATTCCTATTAAGTTCAGTGTAATCAACACACAAACGTAGACTACCATTGGGCTTGAGTACTGGTACTATTGGTGCACACCAGTCAGTTGGAGACTCTACTTTTTCTATCACTCCTAAGTCCAACATTCTGTTCAATTCTGTCTCCACTTTTGAACGTAAAGGAATTGATATGTTTCTTGGAGCTCGAACCGAGTGCGGTTGAGCGTTTTCGTTCAATTCAATCTTATATTCTCCTGGAATGCTACCCAGACCAATGAAAAGCTCAGGGTGGCTCGTTAATACAGAATCTAAGGTAATTGAGTTAAGTCCTGCAGTATCAGCTTTTCTGAGGGTTATGAGATTTAAAGATTTAATCGCAGGAATTCCAAGTAAAGGTTCATTTAATCCTGCAACAACATACACCTTTTCTTTTACCATTTTCCCATCGTAAGCTATGTCTGCTATAAACATACCTCTTACATCTAGTTCCCTCTGATCAGCATTCCTAAGTATACGGTCAGATTTCATAAGTTTTGCATGAATTACATTTGAAGGAATGGCTGTAACTTCTGCGCCTGAATCAAGTTTCGCTTTAACTAACTGGTTATTGATAAATATTTCTACATACCAAGAACTGGAGTCATAGCATGAAGCATTCACAGGTCCTAAATATGCTACTGAAGCTTCAGTGTTGTCAGGCTTGTCCAAACGTCCTATTTCGTTGAGTCTCTTCGTGTTGTCCGTTGTTTTAGTCTCTAATAATCTGCTTCTGCAATGTTTGGCAAAGTGACCGATTTTTTGGCAGTAATGGCATGTTAAATCTTTAGCAGGGCATAAGTGCCTGGGGTGCATTGGACCTCCACAGTTCCAACAACATTCTTTCCTAGCTGTCTTTAAATCATGGGTTTTGTTAAATCTTGCACTTTGTTTTTGGTCTGATTTGATTCGGTCAACTTCTGCATGTTTTCCTTGGCATATCATTTCTAGTTCAGCTGCTTGTTTGCTGATGGACTCTTTTTGTTTGCATTTTTGAACTGCTTCTTCCAATGTAAGATTTGAATCTTCTTGTAATTGGGCCGATAAACGTTTATCAGTTATACCCACTACAATTCTATCACGTATTAGTTCTGCTTTAAGGTTCTTGAATGAACAGTGTTCAGCCATTGAGCTTATGTCTGCCAGAAATGTATCAAATAATTCATCTGGTTGTTGTGATCTTGAATTAAACTTTGCTCGTTCGTATATGACATTTCTTTTGCCAGTAAATATGTTGTCAAAGGCTTCTGTTACAGATTCATATGAGGCTTTGTCATCTTCTGAGAGGTGTGCTGTTGATATATCCTCAGAATCAGGCCCCATACAGTAAATCAAGCAGCTTACTTGTTTTACTTGAGGTTCATTGTCCAGTCCTGATGCAATTCTATACCTTTCAAATCGCTTAAACCACTTTTCCCATAACTC